CCCCCCCCTCCCCCGATCTGTCTCCCTCCCCGATATATCTCTCTCACGTGCGACCATTTTTTCAATTTTGTTTGATGGCATCAGGCTAGGGATACTATAAGCACGCGGAAGATAAATACGCAGGGTTATTATACACGACTTCGAAAAAATCGCATGTATGTTTCATCCAGAAGACTGAACGGCTAGGGGAAGCTAATGAGTGATAAATACCCCTCTTGAAATTACTTTAATCAATTTAGTTAACATCCTGCTGCTCTTCGGTTATCGCACCCCTTGGTCGTGGTGTGCCCACCATAATGAATGCTCTTTCTGGTTCGTGTTTTCATAAGAATCAGTTGGGACTATTGGTTTCGTACCTACAAATAACTCTTGATACTATAATCTTATATGAATACCTTCATATCATGTACGCTTCCTGACGAAATAAGAACATAATTTTTCCTACGGGTATAAGCTTTCCTGAAAGCACGAAACTAAAATATTAATAAGTGATACACCTAGACTTGACACAGTGATACTTTCATGTAACGACAGAGCATAGAAAAATATAAATACCCTAAGTAAGATAAAAAGGTGATGCAAAACCCATGCTTCGATTGCGCTGACTATAATGACTGCTCAATAAAGATGCATGTTGGTCTTTGCTCTCTCATGTATTGTTTTGGTGGTGAGCATGAAAAAAATACCTCCCACTGATCTATAAACCAAGGAATTTACATTCGCTAAAGATGATTACGCGACTGCTATAGCATGCCAAATCAAGCTTCTATGATTAATTCTGGTACGTAATGTTGGCTCTTCACTATATGGTATTCTCGATGGCGTTATGGCCTTTTTGAACCATCTCACTAACAATGCATGCCATGAAACAAAAATGAATTGAATACTACAATATAACCAATCAATAACGAAGGGAGTTATGGAATTTTAAAACAATTACAATTAATGTAAGCAGTAGATTTGTATGATTTAGACTCTTGTACTAATTGAATTTATCCACACACCAACTTTCGAACACCGTTCACAATCCAACCAAAATGCTTCCATAAAACTTTGCACATGAAAAATCTTCCGATACGACTTTCCGGACCTACGAATCAAAACCTAGTACCACACTCTGTTATCGTGCCAACTACGAGTGAGCGCACCTGTCCCTCCAGGACACAATCACTTCAATTCTTCCCTCCTACAATTGGTTACAGATATGTATCACCCCTTCATAATTAACCCCCAAGACGTCCTCCTTAAACTCTACGATTAGAAAAAACATCTAATACAATAAAATTTACCTACATTCTAAAAAACATCCGTGTGTTGTGTATGTCAAAAACAAGGCTTGGTTCGGATGGAGGACCTATCCCGGTTGGGGTAGGTCTGACATCTTGGACCTACCCCACCGGTACCTCCATTACGAGGGAATGGGGAGGGACACACACACACACACACACACACACACACACATACACACACATATTCACACTCGCTCTCTTCTTCAAAAAAGTAAGTCTTAAATTTTTCTAAAACTGATTAAAATCTAAATTAAATAATAAATAAATAAATAAGAAAAATTAAATAAAAAATTATAATAATTAAATAATAATAAAAATATATAAAATAATAAAAATAATATAATAAAATAATAAAAGAATAATAAAAGAATAAAAATATAATAAATAATTAAAAATATAAAAAAATAATAAAAATAATATATACCTTCTTAATCACAAATCATAATAAATAAAAGATTATATAATAAAATATCAGTACTATACTAAAATTTAGTGAAAAATAATAAATTCAAAATGTACCTTAAAAATAAAAAATATATATATATGAGAAGGATAACTAAAACCTAAGAGAGAAATAAAATAAGAAAAACCACCCACACCCAATGAACTCTAACCAAATCAGCAAATCCAACCGCTAAGAAGATCCCCTGCTAACTAAAAACTAAAAGAGAAATAAAATAAGAAAAACCACCCACACCCAAGGAACTCTAACCAAATCAGCAAATCCAACCGCTAAAAAAATCCCCTGCCCGTTATATAAAAAAAAACATCATATCCAGCCCCCCATGTACCCGACATACTATCCTGCACAAACCAGCCCCCAAACAAAGACCCTGAAATAAACTCACCACGGCTAACGCCGGACAGCACCACCCCGAAACGTCAAGAACATGTTAGGACACAAGCACATACGACACATTGACGAAACGACGCAACAAGTCTACGACAAAACAACGAAGTACAGAAGGACTAGCGCACCACAAAAAGACCGCCATAGGCGGTCCAAGACACAATACTAAAAACAAAACTGAGATTTACGATCTGCGCTGAAACGACACGCATGATCTGAGACCCAACTTCGGCTACACTTGCCATCTCCTCCTTCCCCCCCCCCTCCCCCCCCAAAAACAAAC